AACGTTGTTTACTTGAGCAAATAAATAAGTTATATTTGAGACTTTCCCTGTTTTGTTAAGTTAAATAGATTTGTTTCAAACTCATTAATTGTTTAAGTTTTACTTATATTAGTATGTTTAAGTTCACTTATATTAAAGAATGAGTGTGACTGGAGAACGCAAATGAGATGTTGGAGGAAATTCATAAATTTTTTCCTATTTCCCTCATTAATGTAAATTGTAGTTTAAAGTTGAGTAGAATTCTACACTTGGAAGTATCAGTGGATATTGCGCTGAGTTAAGAGAAGTTAATTAAGGATGCATGAACTTATGTGCTAATCTTTTATCAAAAATTAACATGGAATATGTTCTTCCTCGCTCAGATTCAAGTATCCATGAGCATCAAAGATGGATTCAGAATGGCAAAGCGCAAATGCACATGCCCCACCAACAAAAGCTTGCTATTGGGGTTCTGTGTACAATGAATGAATTAATCAAAAAGAATGAAAGAACAATGTAACTAACTATCAAATCACCCTGTACATAGGATTTCTAACCCCCAATTTGGTGCTATATTACCTGACGTGGGAGACATTCTGGACTTTGCAAAAGTCAGTACCCGATCTCTAACATCTGCACAAATCATCTCCAATATTGACAGTTTAAAGCCAAAAAACTATTTTTAGAGTTCATTTGATATTGAAATAGAAAATAAATTATGAATGTTGAAATGTGTGTTGAATAAGATTATAACTAAGTATAACTATATATGATAAAGAGAAAGTCCATTGCTCTCTGTCTTTTTGCTTCTAAAATCTGAATCTTTCTCTTGATATTTGTTCCTTGAAACTCTGAAAAAAAAAATGATATTTGCTTCGGAACAACATTAAAGTTTTATTGTTTACGACCATACAGAGTAGATTAAGCAGCTCAATTGATGGAGAACAAGCCCAAAAGTATAGGCCTTGGTTGTTTAAAGCAGTCTTCCCTAATCTGTCACTCTATTATACAACTTTTCTCAATGCATAAAAGTTAACTATTACTGTTGCACTTTCATCATGTCTTAGGACCAATCTGTTTCTTTTTTTTTTTTTTTTTTAAATGGAAGGTACTTGCATTTTAATTCTTCCAAATGCACCTAAAGAAAAAAAACAAAAAGAAGTAAACTTAACTTTCTGTTCCATTAATACTAATACATTTCTCTACCCACTGCTCAAAACGAATGATCACCAATTAACATGACCACCTTTGGTTGGTGCCACTCTTCTCTGACATGAGACGTCTGCAGTTTGTGGCATGCAAATACTGTTTTAAAACTGCTAGTGCAATGGATGATTTCTTAAATGGACCCGGTCAACTATTTTCCATAAGAGATGGGGCGACTCCAACGTGAACTAGGAACTTTGTGTAGTTTCATTCTTAATAAAAATACTATG